AAATAAAGCCTTTTAAAACTTTTGCATGGTAGAAACAGAAACTGCTCTTCATATTAGCGAGTGACAAACAACAGTAACAACAGCTTTTTGACAAGTTTAAAGTTTCTTTAAAATACATTAAAAATATTTAAAAATAAACTACAAAAAATAATTTGATAAAGTGTAAATTAACATATAGTTGTATCTGCAACTGTATTTGATAATGTTTTGAACTTTTAAAATATTGCATGATAAAAACAGAAGCTTCACTTCATATAAACTGGTGTTTTTTGATGAGTTACTTTCATTTTTGCCTCTACTTTTCATTTAAAATAAGTTTCCAATCTTGGCAGGTTTCTAAGGTTCTTCTTCTATATATCAAAAATGTTGTTAAACAACTGAGTGGTGCACTACCGCTACTAGTGGTGAGAAAGTGTATTGCAACTTATTTAAAATCAATGCGGTCCCGCGGCCCTCTGCGGCCTAAAGTTAAAAACTGTTGTTCTTTTGAGGCCCTCAAGGTGGCGCTCGCGGCCTACAATTGGGCCGTGGCCCATAGGTTAAGAATCTCTGATCTAAACAACATCTGGACCATACGAACTACACCTAGCCATAGAAACAACATATGTACCATAGCAACTACACATGGATCATAAGAAGTACATCTGGATCACAAAAACTACACATGGACCGTAGGAGCCACACCTGAACTATATGAACTACACCTGAACCATAGGAACTACACATGGACCATAGGACCTACATGTAGACCATAAGAACTACACCTGTTCAATAAGAACTACACATGGACCAACTACTAGGGGTGCACCAAAAAATTGTTCTACATCAGAATTGGGATTCTCATTTACAAAGATTCAGAATTGATTTAAAATGTACCAAAATTGATTTTTATAAATAAAAAATAAAGCAAATCCATTGGCTGTCAGCCTGCAATTTGTAACTACATGGGACATCCTGACGTCATCACACAGCTGCTTCTGGAACATATGAATGCGCAGAAAGCACCAAAACAAAGATGAAACTACAAAACTGGAGGAAAGACAGATTCAACTACACATGTTCCAAAAGAGTTACACATGGACCATAGGAACTACACACATGGACCATAGGAACTAACTACACATGGACAATAGGAACTAACTACACATGGACAATAGGAACTAACTACACATGGACCATAGGAACTATGCACATGGACCATAGGAACTAACTACACATGGACCATAGGAACTAACTACACATGGACCATGGGAACTACACACATGGACCATAGGAACTACACACATGGACCATAGGAACTAACTACACATGGACCATATGAACTAACTACACATGGACCATAGGAACTACACACATAGACCATAGGAACTACACACATAGACCGTAGGAACTAACTACACATGGACCATAGGAACTAACTACACATGGACCATAGGAACTAACTACACATAGACCATAGGAACTAACTACACATGGACCATAGGAACTAACTACACATGGACCATAGGAACTACACACATGGACCATAGGAATTAACTACACATAGACCATAGGGACTAACTACACATGGACCATAGGAACTACACACATAGACCATAGGAACTAACTACACATGGACCATAGGAACTAACTACACATAGAACATAGGAACTACACACATGGACCATAGGAACTAACTACACATAGAACATAGGAACTACACACATGGACCATAGGAACTACACACATGGACCATAGGAACTACACACATGGACCATACACTACAACTGTGTTTGTCTGTGTCTTTATTCCGTCATTTCAACCTCCAGCTAATGGAGGCAGATGGACCCCATCTTGAACCTGGTTCTGGTTGTCTTGAAGGTTTCTTCCTGTTAATTGGGAATAATACCTTTCCACTGCCACCAATGCACTGTTTACAACAAAGCGTAGAGTTGACACAGTCTGCTGGTCTCCTTAAACAGAAAACWTTTACTTATATGTCCTAATGTTCTGTATCTGAATGTATTTCAAGAAGAATGAATTGTTTATAATTAAATTGATTTCTGACTTGAATGGACAGGTTCTGTTGGGATTTGGTACCATAGCTGAACTGCACTGGACTGGACCGGACTGAACTGGACTGGTATAAGTCTTGCTAAAAACTTCTGAAAACCGAAACAAACTCAGAGACCATTTCTTCTTGATAATGAGGACAAACTGCTTCACGGTGCATCATGGAGAAAAAAAACAGTAATCAGCACATTAAAAAGTAGATTATACAACAGCTTCGAGCATCAAGGGGCTTACTGTGATCCAATTTAAAAGTGCAGAAGGTAAAATAATAATAATAACAACAACATGATTAAAGAGGCAGAAAACCAGGAAAACAAGCTCAGGCCCAGCAGAGACCTGAACACGTCACATCGGCTGAGTGATCGCTGATTAGCAGGTGAACGTATGAATCATCTTCTTAAATTAGCTTCTTCTGACAGGAACAGGAAAATAAAGAGATGTATCTGAATAAAGTGATAAAAGTGAGACCCTGCGTTCTTCACATTACTTTCTGACCTCTCTAAAAGGCCACCGCAGAGACGGAGGAAGTGACTGACAGATTATTACACAGAGCTGATAATCAGGAGGATTAACGGCTCGGATCAGGGATTATAATGTGAACAGTAGCAGGAAGTACTCAGGGTTAAGTTGGTCCTGATTTGTAGTTTCTGCTCCATTTCCTTCTGCCTCCGTGGGGCCTGGGAGCAAAAACTCAGCTGCGTTTCAGCTCAACATCATTGTTTATTCTTTGATGTCTTCACGCACATTTAAATATAGTTTAGAGGCAAATTTAAATCCGTATATAGGCTTTAGATAGATATATATTTAAACTGATGGTAAATTCATTTTAAAGATATTGGGTTTACTATGAAACGTTGAAGTAAGAAACTTCATTCATTCAAAGTGAAATTCAGATCTTTCTTGTCCACAATGTAAAAACAAATATAAATTTTTTTGAAAATGTAAAAAAAAATTAAAAATAAAAACATCCCGACCTTTGAAAACCCCCAGTTCAAACAGAATCACTGCTCTGCAGACTCACAGCTCCAACAGAGCCTGTTTTTATTTTCATTTGGACCACATTGAGAGGAAATATTTTCTCCTCCTTCCTGATGTAAAAACACAGCAGAAAAAATTGGCTGCTTCAGACACTTTGCAGATATTCCTGGTTCGCAGAGGATCAGGTTTTTACTAAACAAGACAAAACATTTTAATTAATAAAAATTAATTTAGCAAAAATGTTCATGTATGTTTTTTTAACATTCTTTTGAGATCTTTCTGTTTTCTCTTATTTTAGCTACTCAAAACCTTCAGCTCATTCTGGGGATGAGTGATGGGACTTTAGAGTTTTGGAACTTTTATACTTTTCAAAATATTTTACTTTAATTACAAACCCTTTAACCATAAAAATTTATGGAAATACAGTATTTATCATTTTATCAAAAACATTGTTCTTTTGAAATCTGCTTCAGCTTATTTTTCTTTTGACATTTTTATATTGTTTTAGCTTTTAGCTAATCTGCTATTTTTGACTTTAGCTAGCTTTTTGGTTATTTTAGAAAACCTTTTGCTGCTATTAGCAGTAAGTTGTTACTAAGTTGTTACTTTGAGTTAGCTTGTTGTTGCTATTAGCTTTGAGATAGCTTGTCTTTTAGATATTTTTGCTAATTTTAGCTTTGATCACTATATGTTACTTTTATCTTTGAGCTTTTGTTATCTTTTAGATTATGTTTTCCAATGTTAGCTTGTCTGCTAAATGCTACTTTTAACTTTTTTTGCTACTTTTATCTTTTAGCTTGTGTTTAAATAATTTTGACTTGTACATAACATTTTGTTGTCCTGATGCATCTCAGTGATCCAGGTAAAAAAATCAAAAAGAAAAAAATTGTGTAGGTCCTCTGGACGGGTTCTTCTCTAATGAAACGTTTCGTCTCTCCTCCAAGAGACTTCTTCAGTCTGAGAGTTTCAGGCAAAATTCAGGCTTTTAAGCACTGCCTCCATGTGACTCAGTCACATGGAGGCAGCTTTTTGATAACATTTTGTTATTTATGGCTTTTTCTTTTGCTATATTTTGCTTCTATTTGTTTTATTTTTTTACTTTTAACTTTAGCTTTTGCTCATTTTAGCTTTGAACTATTATTTAGCCACTTTAGTTCAGCTTGTTTTACCTTTTAGCTAGTGCTCTTCTTGTTTAGCTTTAACAACCTGAGTTCAGCTTTTTTGGCAAATGTCAACTTTTCACAGAAAGCATCATTTCCCAGTTGTCAAACCTGGACAAACAGGTTAGTCACATGCAAATGAGGGCCATCGCCTAACAATAGGCTTGATTAGTCCTATCAAGCGTTATGGTGCGTTCACACCAAACGCGATTTCAACATCAGGAGCATCAGGTTTACATGCAAAGTCTATGGTGGACGCGCTTCAATCAGCGTCGGGAAGAGCTGCAGCACCTCAAGCGCGATTAGAGCAGCGCGATTTGAACGATTTGAACGATCTGAGCGTTCGACGCGTTGAGGCGCAAATCGCTGAAGTTAGAAAATCTGATCTTTTGCAGCTCGACGCGCTGTGTCAACCAATCAAAGAGACTCCACTGTGTGACGAAGCGACATATTTCCCGACAGGACAGTTTACTGAATGATGTCCACTAACCTGAAACAGACGGACAGGAGCTCTTCAGCTGAAATTGAGTGCCTGCAGTCGGTGTCCTGACAGGAGATATCCTCACCAATGCGTGGCAGCTGCTCATCAGACTGGACTCGGGACAAAAATAGTCCTGAAAGCGAGCTGTGAGCCTCTCCCGCAGCTCCTGGGTGATGAAACTCAGAATGTCTCTGAACTATCTGGTGAATTAATTATGAATTAATTTTCTGATGAACGTGACATGCTCTAGCTCTCTGTAAATAAAGCAAAGCCACTTCRTCGTCCGACATTAAACAGAGCCCGACAGAGGAGGGAGGGGCGGGGAGGCTGTTGCCGTTCAGCYCTTCAAGAGCTGACCTGCGTCTGACCTCAAAGTGCACGAGCGACCAACTTCAGCATTGGATGCGATTTTGAAGCTGAAATCGCGTTCGGTGTGAACGCAGCATTAGGCAATGGCCCTCTTTTGCATGTGACTAACCTGTTTGTCCATGTGGAGGCAGTGCTTATAAGGCTGAGTTCACCTGAAACTCTCAGACTGAAGAAGTCTCTTGGAGGAGAGACGAAACATTTCACTAAAGAAGAACCCATCCAGAGGACCTACAGTATGTTTTCTTTTTGATTTTTTTCTACCTGGATTAACGAGATGCATCAGGACACTTTATTAAGTATGGAAATAATTATTTCCAGTATTTTTCCTAAATCAAGAGCATTAATCCAATAGTATATCTCTTAGCGCACGCTCAAAGATAAACTGTAAATCAATGGTTCCCAAACTTTTTGTCTTCTGACCCACAAAATATCCATGGCAAAAACTTGTGACCCCAAATATTACTGGTCTGAGTACACAAACTTTGTTAATAACCCTAAAAACACAGGCTTTTTGACAATCTAAACAGCTTGTACACAAATATAAATACTTATCTTTACTTATTTTGTGTTTTTGTAATAAGTATAGGGGAAATATTACATCAGCAATTATTTTATTACCCTTTAAATTGATTTCTGGAGATTATCCAAGGTGCTTCATGACCCATAATTGGGTCCCAAGCCCAACTTTGGCAACCAAAGTGCAGTGGTTCCCAAACTTTTCAGCTTTTGACCCACAAAATAACAGTAGCAGAGACCTGTGACCACAACTATTTTTGGATGATAAACATTTGTATCAGGTCAACAAAACATGGGCATAGTAACAATTTATCCATTTTAAATATACTAACCTCACTCCTTTGTAACAACTAGGGCAAAAATGTAATTAATTCAGAAAATCTTTTCAGGACCCCCACCTTGATGTTTCAGGACCCCACTTTGGGTCCCGACCCCAACTTTGGGAAACACTGCTATAAACGGTGAGATTAAGTACAACAGTTGGAAAAACTGTAAACTTGGTTCTGATGCGAAGCAAAGATCGTACAATCAAATATTTTGTTTCTGGTGTTTTGCACCGTGTTTAAGGATGCCGATCTGCAAACAGTCAAGACTTATGTTTTTGTTTAATATTTAATCTGTATTTTTGTTCGGTTTTTTTTTTTTTTACATGTCAACACTTAAAATCTAAACAAAATTCAACAGTTTTCCAGCACAACCTAATGTCCATTCAATGGGACCAGATGTCATGATGCCAGCTGGGTTCTCTCTCAGACATGTCACTTAATGTTTTAAATAATAAAACTCTTTATATAACATTTTTAGAGTTTATTGTTCATTTAGTCTCATGTTTAAATGTGAAAGTCCTCAGTTTGTGAGCTGAAGCACCTGAAGCAGCTCAGGTGCAGAAACAAGCTGTTGTATTGTCAGCAGAAAGGTCGAGCCGTGTCTTTTTCATCCTTGCTCTGATTATTCCGACAAACTTTTTATTGTGCTCAGACAGCAAGATAAGCAAATGTTGACATATTAAACTTCCCAAACTGCCTCTGAAGAGACACGGAAAAAGTTCGAGTCTATTTGTTAYCAGGATTGATAATCTCAGGGAATAAAACGAACAGTAATCTGTCAGGTTTGATCCTSCAGGATCAGACGGGTGTGATCTGAAACTGGACCGTGTGGTGCTGATGMTGCAGAACGTCACGGCTCGGACCCATCAGCAGAAACAGAAACGAACCAGACCAGGATGCTGACTGGTTCTGGCCCGATCCTGAACGAGGCTGCGCGCTCTGGACCCAAAACATGGCTGAGACGCGCACCCGACAAAAACACAAAGAAACGCACCAGAGCTTGGGAGGAAAATTGGGATAAAACTCACGCGCTCCAGATGATCGAGCCATGGCTTCGGGCTGCAGGAGGTAGAGGTTTAACAAACCCCCTCCACCCCGACGCGCGCACCTCCCCCAGGAAAGAAGGAGAGAAAAAACCCCACTGGGGTGGTACTGCGCCTGGTTTTACCGCCCCGGTCCGCTGGAAGCCTGCAGGCTCCGGTCCTCCTCCTGCTGGACTCCCGTGGCTCGGATCAGCGCGCCTCCTGTGGATGCTGCTGAGCAGAACTGAGCATCACCGAGCAGCTCCACTGATGTGGGCTGAGGATGAGGATGAGGATGAGGATGAGGATGAGGATGAGGAGGATGATGGTGATGTCGCGGGAACTGGAGCCTGGAAACGAGAACAGCCGGAGTCAGCCCGCGTTTCTAACAGTCCTCAGAAATAAAAACCCTGAAGMCTCCTCTGAGCCTGAAACCGGACCGGAACCAGTTTGTGGACCCGCACCACGTGATGGCTCCTTCAGTCCTGTCACCTTCTGCYACCTGGAAACGCGCTTATTTTATTTCTTTATTTCTTTGTTTTGATTTCGCAGCTCCTGTGGAAAAATGTGGGTCAGTGCCCCACTTCATGTAGAGCACAGGACATCCATGAAATATTCAAGAAATGCTTTATAAAATATAATTTACAGACTTTTGTTGTGAATTTAACGTGTTCATATTCTTTTATTATTATCATTATTTTTAATAGCAATTTGTTTCTGTTTGTGGGTGAAATTTGTAAGGTTTTAGTTTGTACGGAAGCCCGTTTGTGACKATTTTGATTAAATAAAACTAAATGAACTCTGCAGGTTCTATGCTGTTGTTTTATTACTTCTTTCTTGTTCTGATCCGTTTTTTTAATGTCCTCATAAATAAACTTGAGTCCAACAGAGGGCAGTGTTGTCTTGTTTTTGACTAAATGTCTAATAAATTAAATACTAAATATATATGTAATATAAGTAAAGTACAAGTCAGTATTTGTGTAAGTAAATATGTAAGTATTAAATTAGTACTTACCTAATTTCCCTCTGGGCTCAATAAAATATTTTTGAATTGAATTGAATGACAGTCTCCCTGCTCACAATTGTGCAAAAGTCTTGAGTCATGCTTCAGTAGTCATCTTTTAAAAATGTTTTTAATTTAGATTTATTGAAAATCGTTAAAGTTTTTTTTCCCTCACTAACTTTAAGTCATTGTGTTTGAACATTTRTCTTGTTTTGAATGAATCATGCAGAGTTAATTCTGGACGGCAGGAAGGGAAATGAATAAAAGCTCCTGAAAACTTCTCAGTTTTCTATTTTCCCTTCAGAAGTTCTTTTACACGGTGAACCTAATCAATGCGTAAAAGCTCCTGATTAGAAGAATTTGTTCATTAAAGTGTAATCAGCTCTGTTATCATCATGAATGGCAACTAAACAGAATGAATGATGAATGATTACAGTATTCAGAAAACTAGAGGGAGAAAAATGCAACGAGTTTGATGAATTATTAAATGTTTTTCGGCCTAAATCAAAATTTGAACTTTAATCAGGAGGATTTTTTTTTATTATTTCAAACGAAAACAATTGTTTGCATTTAAATGCAGGTTCTGAAGTTCAGCAGCGCAGGCCTGCAGAAAACTTTCCACTGAAGTTCATTCTCGTGCGGTCACCCTCCCTGCTGACAGAATGACCAAACGGCTCGTGAGGAATAAGAGCTGACAGCTGATGGGAATATAGACTAACGTGGAGCGGAAAAGTACTGGTGGTCTGAAGCCCCCCACCTACCCACCCCTCCAGTTCAGCTCCCTAAAGCCACTTCCAGGAACAAGCTGAAGAGTCAGAACAAAACTGAAGCAAATTCAAGATTTAAGCCTGTAAATAAGCTCATGAAGCATCCTGTGTTTTATTGTACGTAAATTTTGTTGTTTTTAAGAAATAAATAAATAAATTCTCATGACTATAAAATCTTTGAATGTTGAAGGTTTTGAAATACAAAAAAAAAAAACAGAAGAAGTAAAGTTTTTGGGTGTCATTATTGATGAATGTTTGTCATGGAAATCTTACATAAACTACATAAAAGGTAAAATATCTAAAACAATTGCAGTGATAAATAAGGTAAAGGGTGTGTTAAATAATAAGTCTTTGTATATTTTGTGTAACTCACAGACCGTATCTGACGTATTGTGTGGAAGTGTGGGGTAATGCCTGTAAAACATATAAAACTCAGTCTTTCTTAAGAGCTGTTAGAGTTATTATTAAGAGCTAAATACGGAGATCATACAAGCCCAATATTTGTACAGTTAATATACTGAAACTACCTGATTTGATTGAGTACAATATTTAAAAATGTTTGGATAAAGCACGTAAAATAATGTTACCAAACAATATTCAAAAAGGTAAAGTGAATATAATTTAAAAAGTATTGAGATCTTTAAAAAAATAATTTCAGAACTGTGTTGATGGAAAGATGTATTTCTGGAATGGTCTTGATGTGAAGTGAAACAGTCTAAATCTTTATTTGTGTTTAAAAACAGGTTGAAAATTATTATGTCAAAGCATTATTTTACTGATTAAGGGTTCTGTTTGTATTTTTGTGTTCAGGGGTTCTTTTGTTTTTCTTTTGTTTTTCCCTGTATGCTGACATTGGACTCGTTTGGAATTGATTTTATTTTTTAGGGAATAGGGGCAGATACTGTATAAGTTTATACATCTTTCTGCTCCTTTTCATTCATGATTTTATTTTTTTTTTGTTTGTTTGTTTTTTTTTTACTTTTGCATGACTTGTTTTTATAGATTATTTTTTATTGTTTGAATGAAATAAACACAATAATTCAAAATTCAATTTAATAAAAAAAGAAGTGCTCATGCCGATCCAACATGGTGCTCACCTTGTTCGACATTTCCTCTAAGCTCTGAAAATCAGCTCTTTGGTCCAAACTTTTGGTTTGACTAAACTGTTACATAAAACATTTTATTGATTTAGTGGGGAAAGGCCTGTGACAACAGTTGCTGCTATCAGATTCAAAAATACCAAGTTTTGTCCTAAAAAGTGGCGCATTTATCTGAAATGTCAACTATGTTCCATGTCGCACCAGACAGTTGTTTTCAAACGCTTTTTCCTAGAAAGACAGCAGATGTTGCCACTGCAACAAAAAGAGGCAGAGAAAGAAAKAAATGATGTTTTCTCCGTTCCTGCGATGTTCAAGGTTGAAAAGTGATTTCAAAGGAGCAGCGTTGACAGAATACTGTCGAAATGTAACAATGTTTAAAAGAAGATGTAGCAAACCAGAGAAGGGAGTTATTCAGATGGAAAAATCCAGAGTAAATCAAAGATATTCAATGATTTTTCTTGTTTAACGAAAAATTTAAAACTATGTTATTTTATTTTATTTTATTTAAACTTATTTCAGCTTTTATGCAGCATTTAAATCCAGACGTCCTGATGCATCTCAGTAAMCCAGGTAAAAAWRKAAAAYYAAAAAAATTGTATAGGTCTTCTGGACGGGTTCTTCTCTAATGAAACGTTTCGTCTCTCCTCCAAGAGACTTCTTCAGTCTGAGAGTTTCAGGCAAAATTCAGGCTTTTAAGCACTGCCTCCATGTGACTGATACTCYCATCACATGGCTATCGTTGACACCTATTAACACCTTTTGTTAACAGGGGGTGGAGTGATACTGGCAATAGCAGCACTGTAGGAGGGTGACAACTGAAAACGGAGGCCTCCACCTCTGTTTAATGATGGACGGTCTTTCTTCACAAAAATGGCTTCTTTTACTCCTCTCTCAAACCAACGTTCCTCTCTATCAAGAATGAGAACATCCTCATCTCTGAAAGAGTGACCGCTGGCCTGTAAATGAGTGAAAACTGCAGAGTTCTGGCCATTAGATGTAGCTCGTCTGTGTTGGGACATTCTTTTGAACAGTGGCTGCTTAGTTTCCCCGATGTATAACTGGTCGCAGTCCTCCTGGCACTTAACAGCATATACAACATTGCTCTGTTTGTGCCGGGGCACCGGATCTTTGGGGTGAACCAGCCTTTGCCGTAATGTGTTTTGGGGTTTGAAAGCCACTGGGACATCATGTTTAGAAAATAAACGTCTCAGTTTCTCCGAAACACCCGCAACATACGGAATAACCACTGGTTTGGGTCTGGGTCTGGGTAACAGTTTAACACCTGTTAAAAATGTCAACAATAGCCATGTGAGTATCAGTCACATGGAGGCAGGGCTTAAAAGCCTGAATTTTGCCTGAAACTCTCAGACTGAAGAAGTCTCTTGGAGAAGAGACGAAACTTTTCATTAGAGAAGAACCCGTCCAGAAGACCTATACATTTTTTTCTTTTTGATTTAAATCCAGACCATCACCAAGACTACTGCAGCTGAGACAGGGCGTTTTCAGCAAAGATCTAAAAATCTTTATGTTGACATTTGATGCTGGGTCACACTAAGTGTTGATGTTGTTCCACAAAAACTGGTTCTTGAACAAAATGGGTTTCTGGTCCCTCAGGGAAGTTCAAATTTTGTTGTTTTTTTTAAACCACACTGAAGTTTTGTTTCATTAAAATAACTCATGAAACACGTCTCCTGACTTTAACACAAATACGGGAGTCTTATATCAGTCATAAATATATTCAGGAAAGTTTAAAATATCCTGGATGAGACAATAATAATTCTTAGAGCCTGAGCAGATTTGAGCAGCAGCTGCTGAACATCATGAAAACAATCTGATGGATTGATGTCAGCAGGGATCAGGTTACTTATTTCCTCCAAAACACTTTCTTGTGGTGCAGGTTTCACACATTTTATTGCAGTGTGACTTTCTATTTTTATTACTTTATGAACAACAACCTATCTGAGCTGATGGGGTGGGGGGTTATTCCTGGGGAAGACAAACAGGCTTCATATAAAAACAATCCCATCAGCGCTGACGCAGTCGACTCTTATGTAAGAGGAGCTCTGAGAGGCACAGTGTGTTCTCTGATGAAAGTGTTTCTATTCAAAACCAGAAGTGGAACGCTTTGAGTCGTTCAACGAGAGGAAACTTCTGTGTGAGACAAAAACAAAAACATGGTGGAAATTAATAAAAGGAGGATGTGAATTCCCTAATAAAAAGCATTAATTCAAGTTGTGTTTGGTGCTGGAGTGTGTACTCCTTTTCTAAATCTTGATATCATACTCTATAGTACCGTAAAGTAACACTTTATTTACAGTATAAAGCACTTTAAAAAGCCACAATACTGACCAAAGTGCAGATACAGTACTTACATCTATGATGTGCATCAGGCCTGGTATACATATATATACGTATATATACTGTATATATATATATATATA